AAAGTTATTTCATTAAAAATCATTAATCATTTGATAATTTTAGCTCGTGAAACCGTAGGAATTTTTCCAATGGAAACCAATCTCATTTCCTATGTACAGTATGAATGTAGCTCTTTACCAATGTTAATCCACTGTGCATAGTTTAATTATTACTAGGTCAGTAGAGCAGCGAATGTTTAACTTTCGATTTGCATATGGGAATTGTCTGTTACAGGTAAATGGAAGAATTAAATCTTTCTAAAGAAAATACTAGTTACAGGAAGGAAGTATATATTAAGTCGTTCTCTTTTCTTGGTTGAAGATCATCGAATCACTGATGAATTCTTTGTATATTATTTCAATACAAGGTCCCAGCTAGCGTGCTGCTGCGTGGTTTAATTAATAGAATCGGTACACTTTCGTTTAATTTTTATAATTTGTTGTTAAGGACCTATCCGGTCGCCAAACCCCAAAAAAGTACATTGTTTCTTTCCATTTTTTGTCATCGTTTCTTGAAGTAGTGCGAATCGAAAAAATATATGTTGGAGTTGAGTAGTTTATGTATCCATTTTGAAAGATCTATACTCGATTTAAATAACTTCGCTCTATAGAAAAAAAATCCAAACATAGCCAATTATTGACACTGAAATATATGGCGAAAATGTATACCGAACATAATTTTGAATGATACACTGTATATTTAATTGCAAGCCAAGTAATCCATTTCAGTAAAAAAATATATAAAATTACATTAATTTAATGTTTTACATAACTTATTGTTATTATGGGCCTCAGTGCCCCGCAGTCCACCCCGAGCCACTGACACAGCAATTCGTGCTGGGATAGGACCTTATGCAAGGTATATAAAAAATATTGAAACACATAATGACGTTTATTCTACTTTGGTAGCTTGATTATTGGTATTTAAATTATTACGAATAGACTTACTAGTCAAAAATCTTATTTTGGTCCTATCCTAAGTTCAATTCAAAAAAAATAAGTCGGGTTCGAGGGAATTATAATATCGACCAACAGATAAGACAGTCCAAATAGGTCATAAAACAAAATCATCTTTTTTAGGCAGTGGAATTAACAAGTTTTAATGAGATGATTTTATGCAAGTCAGCGAGATTAATAAGGTTAACGAGTTTATAAAAACAGCTCTAACCTGCAAATTTAATATCTTTAATTAGGTCAACCAAATCAGAAGAGACAGCCGTCGGAGTACAATTAAGATTCAAATCGCTTTATTCCGTGTGCTTGAAATTAATCAAGTATATTAATCAATTGTTTTTGGAAATATTTTTGGTATCAGTTTTTGAAACGTTTTCCTCATTACTCTTCATTTTATTGTTCTTTAATGATGGTTTATGTATGTGTGACGAAAAGCAAGCTAACATAATAGACTTTTGGGCTACGGTTTTAACAGTTTATGGCACTTCTTCCGGGTTTTTTTGGGTCCTTTTTTTTGTATTGCGCATATCGCGGCGCGACTTTTTAGCGCGGTAGGGTTATATAGGACTCGCAATTGTGTATACCCACTAAAACCCCAAGGCACCACCAACAATCGGCAAATTTCAGTTGTAAAAAAAAAGTACCTAACCAATTCGATTGCAGCTCTTTCAAGAAGAAAATGTAGCAATCTTTTATAGGTCGGAATCATGGTTATCTTCTATAAATAAACCCATGAGCGTGTGTCCATCAAATACGACTTAGACCAAGCCATATTAGTCACGCTATAATCTAATTTTATTAATGAAATTACTGACTGATCACTTAAAGCTTTGTGATTTTATACCGCTCTAAAACTCCTTACACTCGCCGAAAGCGTAATAGAGATGGCGGGCGTAAGATAAATGAGCTAAAAGGCGTGTTGGAATGAAGAAAAATAGCTGGGTCGCGTAGTGGAATGAACCGTACCGTTATTATAGGTATTTTTTGATTATCGTACACCTGGTATTCCAGTTTGTCCGAAATTCTCGCAATTTTATTCAATCGACCAGAAATAGACATAGTGGACGACGTTGCCGATCATTAAGCTTATATTTTGGAAGAACTATAAGTCATTTCTATTTTTATTTTACGTAAAATTCCACCCGTATCACCGCGACGTCCGTCGTTTCACAACTGAGGTTTTTAAAGGCAGTTTTTTCGCGCACCATCTCTATGTGGAGCCAATTACTCGCTGAAGTATTTCCAAACCAACTCGACTGAAAAGAGCGTCTTAAAATGCTAGCAACGCTGCCACAAGCCCTCTGGTATTGAGTGTCCATGGGCGGCGGTATCACTTGACATCAGGTAAAACTGATGCAATATTTAAGTATCTGTAGTACTGATATTACAGTATCAGATAACAGGTGCTTTATTGGAACCCATAAGGAAGAGAGGAATGACGAGAAGTGAAAACAAAGCGAATTCCAATCCATCTATACCCACAATTATATTGCTCAGTGTTATTGTGTCTCTTAAAACATACATTTAAAATAATTAATAATTTAATATAACAATTTTTAACCGGATTGAAGTTATGTATTTACAAATATTTTTATCTTTCAAATTTAACCGACGTTTCGCGTGCTTTACAGCGTGCGTGGTCACGGTGACTGAAGACAAAAGGTGTTGGATGTCAAATAGTATCACAGCTGTAGAAAAAGTTGTATTATCTGTATTTATTTCCCCGGAGTTGGTATCGACTAAAAGATGGAGGGTTTTGGCAGAAAATAATACATAACTTCAATCCGGTTAAAAATTGTTTTATTAAATGTGTAAAAGTTATGTCAATAAAAGACAATAATTAATAATTGTTTTGCTTTGATGTCATTGTAAACTTTCCAGATACTATATACGATGATAAAGATATCACGTTTAAACGGCACAAGCCGTTTTATCTTGCGATTTCATAAAATACTAAAGTATACACTTAATAGTGAATTTAATAATAAGAAGATAGTACCGTCCCCTCAGCTGGTGCTTTCCTCGCTCAACGAATAAGTATCGTAATATAGCGAAGAAGCGTTAAAGATATACTGCCGCAAGAACCAAACTATTTATCAGTTTTAATTATAATTATTGTAAATATTATTAACCTACATATTAATTATATTAATTATATGTATTCGCTGTCATATAAGAGATTTATTTAAATCAGTGTCATTCGTATACCTAATATAGTTTTTAAGAATGGCTTTATAAACACCGATTTTGTGTGAGATAATTGACAAGTTTTTTAGCAAAAGATATACGGTTTTAACCAAGTATTCAATATTAAGTAGCCTCAAATCGATAATTCACAGCGTCCGTAGCGTAATATCCGATTCAGCTAGCAATTTCGTATAATTTTAATAAGCTCGCAAATTGGTTTATATCAAATTATCCAGTGTCAATGAACTCTGGACTCGTAATTTATTTTATAATTTATAACGTTGTTCTTTAGACAAAAATTTAGCACATTATAGATATTATTTTCCATAAAAAATGATTATTTAATATATTCTTAATTCGGGATGGCACAAAGTTCCTATTACTTAGAACAATCTTTGCACGTCACTATAATCGCTAGATACAAATAATTCAACACCGTAAAATTGTTTGGTACACTTCTATCAATTATGTCATCTGAATTTCAATTTTATTAAATACTTTTGCTTACTTAGTGTAATGCATCTAAGTTGACGCAACGATGGGTATAAATATTGTAGTCAATTTACGGTGTACCCGTCACATGCCATAAAATAAGAATAAAATAATAGTTGCCAGGATTGTTTATGGTTGAATTTCCTTTATTCCCGGGGAGTGCAATGTACTGCGTTCTATTCACCTCCACTTGCCCGTATATCGTTAGCATTTCGCTTATGGCTTCTAATTCTAATTGGGTAAAAGTCAAAAATCACTTATTCATATAGGTAACACAATGTACACTTATGAGCGTCAAAAAAGAAATATATATGAAATGCTTCTAATTTTACATTTACTGCCAGTTCTCAAATCAAGGGCGGAGAACGGAAGAGAAGAACTGGCAATAAACTCTCCGCCACTCTTTTTGATCGCCAAGTTTTTTGTTTTACACAACGTTTGTAAGCAGCTGCAACCATTACACCATGTTCCACATCTTAAGTAATAAATAACAATAAAATAAATTAAAAACAAAGATTTGTCCTCTATCAGCAGGAGGCATGGTGAAATAGGAGCACGCACTTACATTCTCGTGGGAACAACACGCAAATGCATAGTCGAAATAACTAACATCACCGTATACTCGAATTCAAGTTCAAGAAAAGAAGGTAAACAATAGAAAGATTGTGTCTAAATATTTTATATTATGTTGACTTGTAGGTAGTAATTTCAATGTATCTTAAGGTTTTCGTTATCTGTATTTCTAAAATATGTAGCACAGTATTGGATAAAGTAAGACAATATTTACATATATTCTGTAGTATTTGCAGCTGTCACATCGATGTGGCATAAACGAGTCTGAAGACGCGTTCTTTACGTGCTTTGAATAAAGTAGGAAGAGAACTAGCGAGTTGTGAATCCAATAAATAGTTCAAAATACAGATTTATACTATTTATGGGGCAATCGTAATGTTGTATACTGTATTATCAGGTCATGACTTAAACTATTTTGAATAACAAAATTACACGTATATACGACGTATACGTCACAATCTGATGTCACTGAAACTACCCCTCAGATACGGTTAAGGGATCTTCAAAAACCAGCTGTAGCCAGCCAGCCCATGGGCACCTGCACCGCCGGGGTTGCATGTGTCATTGGCAGTGGTTATCACTTTATTTAAAGTCACCCACCTGCTGTTGGCATCCTGTCCGTCTAAGTATCTGAATCTTCACCATGACGTAACTGTGCCTGAATCAGACTTTAAATGTTAGTGATCTAATTGTAGATGCTACATTAGAGCATACAACTTAATTTTGGCTATTTAAAAATGCCATGTGGTCAGAACAAGTTGGATTAGATTTTGGGTATTGTATTGGCTATGATGGGAAGAGAGGATACCTGCAGTTCAATGGTCCTTCTGAGCATGACATGCTGCTGAGAAGGCCGCTGAGCGATTGACAAGGTCGTAGACTGGTTGGTAGTTTAAAGCTGGGGTCTCGACTGGCCCGGAACCGCAGGTCTTGATTGATTTCTGTGTCGGATAGGAGCCCGAGTCCCATGGGTTGAATACCTTGGCGAACCCCAAGGGCCCTTCATAAGGGCGTGTGTGAGGTGAGGTGTTTTTTGTGGGTAGGGTTTCGCTACCCCTCTGAATAGCGGAGGGCTTTGAATGTAGACCCAGCTCCATAGTCCCCGCCTCAAGGTAGACACCCAGGGCCCGCGTAAGCGCATCTTCACCTCATTAAAAAAAAGGGTTTTGGGTTCATTAAACTAAAGAGAAATCATTCTAAAATTACGTTTAATAACCCTTTTTATAACAAAGTTAATTTTTATTTCACTAATATGTTATTAAATATAATCTCCGTACTTTGGGATGTTGTGCAGTAATCTCTCGCTAATTTCTCGTATTTAGCTCATTTTGGTATTCCGTAGGTAGCTTGTAACTCGAATGAGAGCAGCTCACTTTAATACCACTATTGTCATTCACTAGATGTCTTTAGATGTCATATTGTTGGATAGGTTCATATTCGTACTTTTAAGCTTGTTTCGACTAGGGGTTATGTGTGTTGTAACAATTATACTTACCTTATAATAACATCGTTTACACAAGAGTTTTGATGGCCTATTCAACGGCGGATCCAGGGGGTCATGGGGGTCATGACCCCCCTGAGCCAGAGACTAAGGTGGACCACTAATTGAACATAATGATTTTATATATAAATTTGTCACCATACAGATTATATGTAACTACATACCTTCAATATTTAATTAATATAATATAATAACTTTGTATGATGGCAACGTTTGGGAATGAACGCATCGAAAATTTGAATTTTCCGGCCACACTTGCGCGCGCTTGTTGCTATGAAACGTCTACTAGACCTTACCTCAATCGGAATCGGAACGACTAAACTTCAACATTCATAACATAGTCTTATTTTAAATTGTGACATCAAAGTATACTAATATAGGAAAATTGGATACACTACCCTGTCACGAAGCGACAGCAGAAAGGTCTTTCTCTACGTTGCGCAGAATTAAATCGTGGCTAAGATCTTCAATGGTTGAAGATCGCCTACAGACTGGCACTTCTCCACGTTCATGAAAACGTACCCGTTCACGTAAATGACGTAATAAGTTTCGGGAAAACACGTTAAAGAAAAATTGATTTAGTTATTAAAATGTTGTATTTGTCGTTTCTTTTGTTTGATGGAATCCCTTGTCGTACCATCTCTTCACTTTTGCGAAGTTTAGCGTAATACCCCTCGACATACCTCTAGCTGTTATGACAAATCATTCACCACGGTTATGTTATATAAATAGGCTGCCTCATTCCGTACTGATAGTGAGGCCGAGCCAAGCTCGCCAAAACAGCCCGAGCTGAGCTGTAAAGGCCCTAAAGGCCAACAGCGAGATTCCACTTAAAAAAAAAAAAAAATACGTGATAGTGTTTCTCTGGTTGTCTTCAAGAGAAGATGGTAATATGTACGTGTATACAGGTTGGTCCAACTAGTGACGTCAATAAAAATTTTTAGATTCGTCACACTCACCTGGGGGATACGAAAATACCCCATGTATGTTCCGCGTTTTTTGTAGTTTCGAGTTATACATTTTTTTGTGTTTTTTGAATGTTTTCTGCCAGCGAGGTTTAAAAAAGTCATATCTTTTTTCTGTAGGTATTTTGCAGTTTTTTTCTGTTAAATGATTGCCTTAAATGATGTTCAAGTAAAAAAAATCCTAGCTTCTTAAAATTAGTTAAATCTACTCAAAAAAGGTTTTATAGTTAGAAGTTTAGTTTTTAGCTGGATTTGCCCAAACATTCGACTTCAATTTAAAAATACAAAAGAAGTTTCCATAGCTTCTGGCTAAGTTTAAAAACTCCTGAGGGTTCTAAGCTACCAAAATCATAGAAAAAAATGGTACTTTTTTTGTTGTAATCTGTGGATTTTTTTGTCGATAGGCTATCTTGAAGCATTAAAAATGCTTTTTTCGACTTATTCATATGGTAAATTAAACTTAATAATGTGGTTTTTTACTAATTTTAATACCCGTAAAATAAATGTAGCTGTAATCGGCCTTTTAATATGGATAGGCAAAAAATCATTGAAGCATTAAAACTGTTTTTTTAACTTTTATTTTTCTAGGCAAATGAAACTTTACATCTATTTTTTACTAATTTTAATACCCGTAAAAAAAGTAGCTCGTGTAATTCTTACAATAATTTTGGTCTTACCACTCAAAATTCAAAATGTTATTCGAAATGAGTTTGCTAGTTGTGAAATTACCTGTTTTTTAATAACAAATAAAAAACACAATTTACTGAAAAAAACTATTTCTAATATATAAAATTCTCGTCTCGGTGTTTCGACACTCGAACTTCGTGCGAACTTCTCCGAAACGGCTTGACCGATTCTCATGAAATTTTGTATGCATATTGGGTATGTCTGAGAATCGGACCTCCTCTAAATTATTACTTTTTAATTTTTAGATAAAGATTTTTTTTTTTTTCATGATACAGCATTAAAAAATACATACAACCCCAATTTTCACCCCTCTACGATCAACCCCTATTTTTTATTATAAATTATATACATGGAAAAACGACGTTTGCCGCCGACTTTATCAGCTAGTATTGTAATAAATTTTCAAAACTCCTTCCTCCAACTTGAATACATAACGATAACGTTTGGAGATTTTTCAAAGAGCTGGTTTACCCGAAGGAAAGCTACTTTTTTAATGGGTATTAAAAATCACACTATAAGAATAATAAAAGTCGAAAAAAACATTATTAATGCTTCAATGATTTTTAGCCTTCCACCTTAAAGGCCGATTACAACAATAAAATACCAATTAAGTACCATTTTTTTCTATGATTTTGGTAGCTTAGAAACCTGCGGAGTTTTTAAACTTAGCCAGAACCTATGGAAACTTCTTTTTGTATTTTTAAATTGAAGTCGAATGTTGGGACAAATCCAGCTAAAAACTAAACTTCTAACTTTAAAACCTTTTTTGAGTAGCTTTAACTAATTATAGGAAGCTGAGATTTTTTTATTTGAACAACATTTAAGACAATCATTTCACAGAAAAAAAAACTGCAAAATACCTACAACAAAAAAGATAGAATTTTTGAAACCTCCTGGCAGAAAACATTCAAAAAACACAAAAATAATTATAAATCGAAAACTACAAAAATCACGAAACATACATGGGGTATTTTTCGTCCCAGGTGTGAGGAATCTAAAAAAAAATTATTGACGTCACTAGTTGGACCAACTTGTATGTACTAAGTTACACAATATTATGTGTTAAGTTTTTCAAGTGTACAATAAAGAATAAATATTTTTAATTGCAATACTTACGTACATTAATAAAATACCTACTTTTTACTTGTATCTATTGTTATCAAAAATTAAATTATAAGTTCTTGACTTGACCACGACTATGTGACCCCCTCCTGCCCAAAGCTGGATCCGCCCTTGGGCCTATTGATATGTTACGAGATAAATATAAGTATTTTTTTTATGTAATAGGAGGCAAACAGGCAGGAGGCTCATCTGGTGTTGAGTGAAGAGTGACCGCCGCCCATGGACACTCACATTGCCAGAAGGCTCGCAAGTGCGTTGCCGCCTTTTTAAGAATTATCACGCTGTTTTCTTGAAAGACCCTTAGTCGAATTGGTTCGGAAATACTTCATATAGTGTACGAATAATATAAAACACGCCGTGGTTGTGTAATAATTAGCGTATAATTACTGAAGGCAATGGCATGTAAAATACTCTATATAAATTAAAATGAATCGTAAAATATGTTGCTAAGCGCAAAACTCGAAGACGGATGGCTCATTTCGAGTATTTTCTTTTTACTCTATGAATTGTGAGGAAGGTAATGGAGAGAAATACCTAAAAACCAGTTTTCTATTTCTGTAATTGTGAACGCCAACAGTCTCAATGTGTAGCAAAATGTTCCATATGTTGGCATGTAGCTACTAAAAAGTTAGGCAAAATAAAATATTATATCAAGACCGAACAAAATTCTTGGAACAGATAGTTAAATATAGAATATCAGTTAAATAATGACACGCTTACACAACGTATTACAATGTCTATGTAAGTCTAGTTAGTCTGTGCTAGAATAATCAAAAACGCAAAACATTTAAGCAAGTCATAAATGACGTTATTTATTTATTAACACTTCGTTATGTGAGGGCAACTGGCGGCCAGATCGCTTACAAGCGATCTCTCCCAGGCAACCACTGTCAGTGTTAGTTATGTATAACTTTTTTTTTTGACAATTCACACCAATTGACCTAGTCCCATGCTAAGCTGGTGAAGCTTGTGTTATGGGTACTAGGCAACGAATAAACATACATATTATAGATAGATAGACATATAAATACATATTTAAACACCCAAGATCTAAGCACAACACCAAATGCTCATCATATCGATGTTTGTCTCAGCCGGGGATCGAACCCGGGACCCATGGATTCACAGTCAGGGGTACTAACCACTAGACCAATGAGTCGTCAACTTACCATACCTATTGAATTATTTCTATGAAAAAGCTTAGTTTGCGTGATCATTTCAAGGCTTCATACACAATTTTGTAAAACACTTTAACAATTTTAAAAAACGGCTATATAAGATTAGGTTAACTAAGGGCTAAAGTGCCTAATGCATACCGTTGAAGCAATAAGTAAAAACGTCTAGACATCTTATGTGTAAAATTAACAAGCCAAAAAAACCGGAGTAAGTGCTAAGCTGAAAAGTTTTTAAAGTGTTTGAAGCCGCAGCTCTCGACTTCCCTTGGGTAAACATGTAACTTTAAGATAAAAGAATAGCTCTCCCTTTTAGATTAAGAACGTGTACTCGTTTAAATAATATATTAACAACACTTGTTACCCTGTATAGGCGGGTAAATTTACGAAAAATATTTCTGGAATTTAGTCCTTTCAAAGAAAATAAAATATGCCCGTTATTGTCAATATAAATCAGCGGCTTTACAACCTGTTTAGTTCTGGACCTCAAATTTCTGTATCTGTTTCAAGATAATTTGTCACTCTAATAAAGCAAGTAGGTGATCAGCCTCCTGCCTGACACACGCCGTCGACTTTTTGGGTCTAAGACAAGCCGGTTTCTTCGCGATGTGTTTTTCACAGTTTGTGCGAATGTTAACTGCGCACATAGA